TACCTATGAAGAGAATTGTAGCGAAGTACTATGAATATTTGAAGGCCGTGATATTGATTATGACAAATATTCAGTGGGAGTTCCTATTTTAAAAGGAGAAATATTAGTGAAAAATAATCGAAGAATCTATTTCATTATGCGAGTGCTGCTTAGATTGCGCAAAAATATTTACTGAAGACAATGAGCTGTTATGTCATACATGGCTTTTCACAGTAAACACTTTTAGGCTCAGACTGTACATACTTATTGCTTCGAAAAGTGATTTTATGCTGCTTTTAATGTGAATTAGTTCCATTCTTCGATTCGGTCAGCTGTACATTTCCTACAGTAACATTTTGAAAACCGAATGAACATTACTGCTCCATTGTTAGCATCACTACTATAATATGACGAAAACAACAAGACTGATGACATGAAAGTTTCGATTTTAAAGCCTGCGAATCCCCGTCGTCGATTGGACCGAATTCATCTGCCACCATTGGTATACGAGCTCCTGTGCGGATACCTCAATATCACCAGTATTTTCACTTTGGATATTCTTGATGCGTAGTGACTAGCATTGAAATCTAGGACACGTGTTCCATCATATTTGGAACTCCTTCATCATTAATATGAAAACTCAAAATACTGGCAATTTCAAGCCTATATGCCAACAGTGGTCGGTCAACCCGGTCAAAACGACAACGGATTAAAAAGCGATCATGTCAAAACTGTGCTGTTCCCATCAAACAAGTAGTAGCTGTTGTGACTGACTGGTCTAGTGGATAACAATGTGATGCTTGAAGCAACTGGTCCAGGTTCAATAATAATGATTAATTTAATGTATGGCGCCGACACTACCAAGGCTTTCGTTTGAACACCGTTCTTCAGGTGGAACCAAGTAAAATGTTTCAGCCTACTCATATCCAGTCTTTGTGATTTTTCTCTGAATTTATTAAAAAATTATCAATGCACATACAGTTCATATGAATTATGAGCATTCATTTTTGCAACTATAGCGGAATAGGTCGTATCAATTACTGTTCAAATAATCTTGAAGGAAGAAACATTTATAGGGAGTTCACTTTTAAAAATAGTCCAATTAAATTTGAACATAATAATTGTCTACATAAAACTAGAAAGAAATCTACATCCTTAGAAAAACTATAATTCCTCATGGGTGATGACTGGAAAAATAATACACCAACGAAAATTAGTTAAGAATCATACAAATGCTTGATGATGATCATAAGTAACTGTGGTAAAATAGGCATGTTGAAATGAAATAATACAGCGAATGTAAAAATCCTTTCAGCTGGCTTAAGCGATAAATTATGTACATTTCCGGAAACAGTTTATACTCAACATTGAAATACTTTATTGTGTCCAATGCAAAACGTTTTCAATCATTCCAACAAAATAAATTATATTTCTCTCAAACCATAAATTCCTTCAGATGAAAAACATCCAGGCCATAGTTGTCACGAATGTCCTTAAAGAAGGTGAGTGCCGAGTCAGGCTGATTCACTGCATAGGTAGGTTTTAATATAATCCCAGAGTGTTTAGGAAATCGAAAACAAGATTTTTCTGAACATTTCGCTGTGTATGTCACAGCTTCTTCAACAGAATACTCGGATTTTTATTTAACATTAAAATATATACTGTGGAAAGGTAGATGTAGCAATTTCTGTCTTAGTGTTATTTGTTAACTGTTTTGTTGTTCAGACTGATTACTTCCAGTTAGTCATCTGAAATTCATGCAGTCTGTCATTTGTCATCAAAAACGACTCAATAATCAATGTGCGTGTGTGCCTATGTGTGCAAACTTTCTGTGGAAAGTGTGTCATTCGTCGTTTATCATATAAAAATATGTTTATACATCCACAATAATTGATACAAATTGTTTCTTTGCTTTTTCAAAGTGCAAATTTAAATGGTGACTTTTAAAAAAAATGATTTTGTCGAATTAGAGTCGGCCAGATAGGTGACAAATCAACACCTTCCTTTCTATTTAAAGCATCTGTTGATGTTGAAATATCCAGGGCTTCTGAGGTCAATCTTTACTTATGTATAAGGAAACCCTTCCTTAATATGTCAACATTGTCAAAATCGATTTTGTGTGCACTTTCAATGGCGTGCATTTCTATTTTTAACCTCTTTTCTAAACTTTTCAATTCCACGTCACTCATTGGTGGATGTTTACTGCATAATCTATGTTCCTTCAGTCTAACTTTCAGCTGTCTACAACTTTCACCAATATAATTGGCTTCATATTCTGTACATTTGATCTTGTATACACAGTTGTTTTGTGTCATCCTTGGAATAACATCTTTCAGTTTGACTAAGGTTTTTGCCAAAGGATTTGAAGGTTTAAAATATACCTTAATGCCATACTTCGTACAAACTCTTTGCATTTGTTCTGAAGTACCATTCCTGTATGGAACTATCATTGTTGATGTCCACGATTTCTCCTAACTTTTCTTGTTTGTGTCCTTCCCGTCATTCTTCTTGTAAATATTGTTCAGAAAATACTTTGGATAGCCATTTTTTATTAATACTTGCTTTATTTTAGAAATTTAATTTTCTTTACCCTCCGGATCTGTCACAATATTTTTAGCCCTATTTAATAGGTTCAAAGCTACTGCGGTTTTTACCTTAATTGGATTGTCAGATTGAAAGCTTATCAGAATGTGTAGATTTTTTTGAAATTCCAATTTTAAATTCCCCTTCAGGTGTTCTTTGAATAAGACAGTCTAGGAAATTCAACGTTCCCGTACTTGATTCGCTTTCATTCGTAAATTTTATGAAATTTGATATCAAGTTTAAACGTTGTAAAAAGCTTCCAAGTCCTGTTTTCTTGATGATCACAAAGGTATCATCTACATATACCAAAGTTTAGGTTGACAATGAAAACTATTAAAAGCTCTTTCTTCGAATGCTTTCATATATAGATTAGCTACAATCGGGGATACTGGTGATCCCACCGCAACCCCATTAGTTTGACGGTATAGCTTGTCCCTAAACGTAAAATATGTTGACTCTAAACATGCTTAAAATTATGTTTGAAGTCAATAAAGACAAAGACCGCATGAACTTCAAATGACTAACTGGAAGTAATCAGTCTGAACAACAAAACAGTTAACAAATAACACTAAGACAGAAATTGCTACATCTACCTTTCCACAGTATATATTTTAATGTTAAATAAAAATCCGAGTATTCTGTTGAAGAAGCTGTGACATACACAGCGAAATGTTCAGAAAAATCTTGTTTTCGATTTCCTAAACACTCTGGGATTATATTAAAACTTACCTATATAATGACATAGGTTTCTTCATTTGTTCTTTTGATGATAACTTCAGTGGTCGCTTGCAAAATACGAGGCAATGTAACCTACTGGCAGCACCAGGTAAAGAAACGTTTCGTAATTACAGAAGTCCTAACTTTCTTCGAAGATACTGGTTAAATTGACCCGATAAAAAATAACCCTTTTCTGTGTACTAGTGGGGATGATATAAGTTGACACTGGTTCCCTTAAAAACGCTGTTTTCACTACGGCTGATAAAATAATTTCACAATATGACCATAGAATTAAGTAATGCATCACATGACGTCCTTCACTTTTACATCGACTCTGACACAGAATCTAGATGGCTACGCAAAGGTTAGGAACATCTCACTAGTTATACACTACTTAAACGGTTACTTAACAAATATGACAGAAATATTTGTGATTAATAAATCATTTGCAAAACTTTGTATGGCAAGTTAGTGGTCAGGTAGCTTTCTTAGGTGATTCTGTTTCCTTGAACAAACAAAAGTGATCCAAAATATGCACATATATAATAACAGTATTAGGCAGAACTTCTGTACAAAATTACTTCTGTAAACATGCTCAGTGAATGAGGTTGTACACTTGAAATGCTTTGCAGCCCTAAAGCAAAAAGCGGGTCACAGGACTGGGGGGGAATGCGTACCATGAAAAGATGAATCGACCGCTTCATTGGTTTCGAAATTATCACTTGTTTAGAACCGCACGGAAACAGCATATTAAAACTGGCAAATAAAACTCGTGTGTCATCATGGAAGCATTCACTTATACATAACTGAAAAAAAATATACGTTCGGTTGTTTTGTGCAGCTTTAAGATAAGAACATACAGTGACAAAAGTATCATCACGTTTTCGGTAGAAAGCAGTTGCTATGTAGGAAACATGGAAAAAATTCAATGTTACGAAAAGGGAAATATTCATGCATCACTATATGGAATTAAAGTTAAACAGATGCTGTTGAAAGTAGTCAGCTTTCAACGTTTGACGTAAATAACCAACAGTTACTAGGTAGGCAGCAGCCATCTACCACAGAAAGTGTGACTGAGTGAAAATGGAAATGTTATTGAGATGTCTTTTAACGTATCATTTTGTATGGTGAATGGATGCCTTAAGGTTGCCAAATTCAGTGATTATACACTTTATTAGTATCATAATTATTTCAGATATAGTTGTGATCAAGAATACAACCCCCCAACCGTTTACAAACAGTCTTGTTCAGGATACTCATCTTATTTACAAAGCAACACAGTAAATATAGGAGGTGATTAAAATGTCAAACATCTGCTAAAAAATAGAATCAAGGAACAGTATCTTATTTCACCTTTTTCTTCTCTCAAACAAAATTTATTGTCGTACATTTCACAAACTATGGATCTCTCATGCAATGTAAAGTTGGTTGCATGGGTATACTAACCACCTAAAATGAACGTTTGTCATTCATCTCAATGACTGTATCACAAGCAGTGTACGTGTATAACGGTTTTTGAAACAGGAAATATTATATTCCGTTTTCTTAATTTATTCAAACAAAAAGAATATATCACTAGAACTTTGAAATTACTTTCAAGTTTTATTTTCCGAGAGTCACTAAAGCTGACAAAAATGGAATATATTCTCCGATAAGAACATGTACAAGTCAGAGCTGTCAAAGATTACTCTGCATGGACTACTCTCAGTTTGCATAAATCGTCATCTAGATTTCCCAGTATATTCAGGAGTAGCACCCTTTCGAATTAATTCACATAGAATGTTTGCGATATTAGTACAATCATCTGAAATGAAAAAATTAGAAAACAATAGAATGAATTATTGATTATTTATTACAAAAAATGTGTATCAACATGGTATGCATTACAATAACACTGGTAACGAAGAAGACGCTTTTCGAAAGATTAGAGTTGAAATGAAGATAACAGCCGGTAAAAAGAAGTAAAGTGGAAAAAAAAGGAAGTATGATACAATAATAAACGGAACAGATATTCTAATTTATGTGAAAAGCCAGTATGAATCTCTAAACAATTGCCTAGTACGAATACGGTCTGAAAGGAAAATGTGATTCGTGACATTCTTGAAGCCTATCTGCCAAAAGTGACTTAAAAAACAAAATTGGTTAAATCTCAGCATAGTGTATTACTGACGTGTGCTTTGCCCTATAAGAATGTTTTGAACAGGTTTCCACCATTAGTATAGTCATTCTTCTAACTAATATGCTAATATGCAAAGAATGCATTAATAAGGCATAAACAAGATGTGCCTACGAACCTTTACCAGTAAGGTTGTAAAGTGAGAACGTAGATCAACCTAGAGTTCTGTGTTGGAAAGTAATGTTTTATAGTATGATTTGGCATGTATTTCTTGCTATCTATGGACTAGGACCAAGTTGTGATGAATATTCTCTTCTAAAACTGCAAGCAGTAGAAATTCTAACCATACATAGTTTGGAGAAATAGCTCGACTCAGTTCTTCTTGCTACAAAGAATTTAGTTTTTAAGCTTTCCGACTTGTTGTGTTGCACTTTCAAGTGGGAAATCTATCGTCATTCCCCTCGTTTCATTTAAACTTTAATATATGAAACATGTACTTTCCATATTCTTAGGCCGAATCGCATCGTGAAACTCGGTTTACCATACAGTATATACATACTCCTAGTACAATACGCAACTGATTCGCGCATTTACAAAGTGCTTTCTACTTTTTTTAACCTTCGCAGTCGAAATATTTTATTGTCAATCAACAACTCCCCTCAGAACATTTAGGAAAATTTGCAAGTTTTTGCCATTATTTCCAATGCTGCTTTAACGCATATCCTCATCAACAATCGGGAACAATTATTCTTCTTCATATCAAGTGCGTAAATTCATTTTACTTTATGTACTATTTATAATCGAGCGGAAAGTGTTGAAACTGCCCCCCCCTCCCTGTATTTTATAAAATCTGTCTTTTCCGACCCTCAATACTGGTTATGATATAAAGATTCTGAAAATGTATTTGGTACTAAAGTTTTAGTTACCAAATAATAACCAATAGTTTCCCCCCAAGTGACTCAAAACTTCTACCCGCATCATGTCAATAAGATTAATAAACAGAGAGCATATTCCTGAGATAGACTTCTGTTCAAACTGAAGAATTGACAGTTGAACTCGGTAACTCTGCAGTAAGGCATTTGTCTGCAATGTTACTCACTACGTTCAATATTGATAAAGTCTATTAACTCCACTTCCATGTTTTTTCTGAAGAGTAGAGTTAAATAGAACTAAACAGATGGAAGATTGTTAAACGATGTACAGCTTAATCAAGAAAATTATAATGATGACATCCACAAAAAAGAAGACAGGTACCAGATCTTGACTAGCTAGTACTCATCCTAAGTGTCGATGAGTACCAAGTAGTACATAAAAGTTAGTTCTTTTGAATTAGGTATTCATCACGAACTGACGTCACTTGGAGAACCACCAAAACCTGGGAACACTGGACAGTTGTTTCGTCCTGCTACGGGACTCCTCAGTATTGCGCACCCGTAACCTCAACAGCAATCAAACCCAGGACCATAAAGTTCTGAGTTGAGCATGTCACCATTGAGCCACTTGGGTTGAGGTCATGGTTGCATACACTTTTCTGGAGTCCCATACTAACATAAAACAACTTTCCAGTGCGGCTAGGTTTTCAGTGTTTCTCTAACCGATGTCAATCCATGATGAATACGAACCTGAAACCAACCAATAAATTTCCACAAACCTCTGAATTCAATAGCCCTTTCGATCTGGTTAACAAACAGCTTATCTAAGATAGTTAACGAAGCTATTTCGAAGGTAAATGCATCTACAGCAACTGCACATCTAGTCTTAATCAAAATGAAAACAGGTATAAATACAAGATCACAATAAATCATACAAAATCAAATCACGGGTGTACAGATAATCACAAGTCGTCAACGTTTGAAGTGTTGGGAGTAATACACAGTTTTTAGTCTTACTACAGGAGTTATCAGGACTACATAGTTAAAACTGATACTAAAACCAAGTCTAAGAAATCCGAGTTTACGGAGGAGGATTGCAAATGGACGAAACAACTGACGCCAACTCTGTATTTTCCATGATTTTAATCATTTCCATTTATAAGCATTATGTACAAAGTTTTTATGCATGTAAACTGACTGATTGGAGTATGATATTGATAATCACAATTATTATTATTATGATAAAATAATTTGACGTACCAATACCACTATGATGTCGACCGACGTGTTTTAGTTTCAAATCTGACAGCATAGACATCATACTTTGTGGGAATTGACCCATCACATCACAATACACCTAGGAAGCAGAAAATAAAAACTGCTTAGGCAAAGAATTTTCAAGTCAGAAAATATTTCTTAAATACTATGTATAATGTGTATATCTCCGTAATCACTGATTCATAAAGATCTGCTCATTTTTGGCGAGTTCTACTCCAATTTTCGGATCAGCTTCCAGTTTGAGGTCGAACATCGTCTGCTTGAACGTTATCGTCTCTTAAACCGGGGGGCCGGTCCCCCCACTCGACAGGAAATATCTATCAGTAAAGCAATGAATACTGAACAACCTTCGCAGGGTAAACCACACCACCTCTCTCATTGAGATTTTTCGGGGCAAAGTCATTGCTGCGGATTAAAAAATGTATTCATCATCTGAGCTACAAAGTTTTTCATTCATTTCACATAAACGCTTAGTCTTATGATTTATTTCTTGAAGAAAAATCTAAATTCATATGCTTGCTTTATGCAGGAAATAATACTAATTGAAAAAGAGAATAAACTGAATGTTGACATATAAAAAAGTGTTTTTCAGAGGATTCAGTGAACTAACAGTATTTTTGACTTTTCCCTTCAGAAATTTTTTTTATATTTTCCGACCACCAACTGATCATCACTGTCATAATACTCTCAAAACTAGTATTTATTTAATTTGCATAGAATGAAGGATACGGGTTTTCTTTTTCTTTCAGAAAAGGTTTAATAATTCAGCATTACAAGTGTGTAGTAAAACCAAAGAAATTTCAAGGTGACTGGCAGTTTGTGTTGAAGTATCTGTTCGTAACTACCACAACATGTGCAGATTGTTTTTGGGAAATAGCATTACTTTAATGACTAAACCTGTCAGATTGTATAAATTATTGAAATGCCTAGACAATAAGCGGTCACAATACGATCACGTTTCGGTTTTTATTGATCACTAAATCTGATCTCATCTACCAAGTTTGCAATGTGACCAACAAGAAGAGTTTCTTAATGCAGCGAAAATGCATTGCCTTGTTAGGCAAGCATGGTAAGAAGCTAAACGACCTCTATGCACATTTTGAGGCTAACATCAACAAGATTGAGTGTTGCTACAAAAGTTCAGTACTTGATCAAAGTTCATATCCGGTGGTTGACGGTTAAATAAATTTTGAAGTCGGATGTACTTCACTTCCTGTTCGTATTTTAGAGGTCTCTCAAAGGAGAAGAAATTCTATACTTTAATTATTAAACATTAGAATAAACTAACCTGCTTCAAGTTAATCCACTGCTTGAAATAGTCTGGAACGTCTATACCCAACTGTTTACACTGAACCGGTAACCTGAATATTTGAAAAGTGTCATGAGTGGTAGCATACAAGATCAAAAAACTTGTCTTAGATATCTTGCAAATGAATATAAGAAAGCTAAGAGTGGGAGACATAACTTAATAATATGTGCTCTAGCAACAAGAAACATTTATCTAAGGTTTTCTATTGATCTTCTGACAAAATTGAACATTTGAACATGAAAATTCGGTGTTTAAGCAAAATATTTTAGGAAGCCCGACTGAAAATCAGTCTTCGAATACGCCTTACTTGGTACATTTTTCGTTCCACCGTTGTATGAATTATGCAGGCAGATATCTTGGTTGTATTGTGTTCTCTGAGCTGGGTTGTTTATTCGTGAAGCTTTCATCGTCTTTCTAGACGACATCGTCTGCACGTAATACTGAAGTTAGTGATGATGTCGTCTAGAAAGACGATTAAAGCTTCATGATTAAACAAGCCAGCTCAGAGAACACAATACAACCAAGACCATCCATCTGAGCTACAAGTATTCTCCACTATTTCAAATATTTTTTATTTGAGCAAGTCTGAAACCTGGCTAGTTACACTATTGGAACTTAGCTTTTGTTCAGTGTCCTCCGATCTTTGATGTCCGTTCTTGGACACTTTATCAGTGGGGTGACTGACACCAAACGCAACTTAGATAACAAGACATTGAAGCGTTTTCGTTTTTTTGAATGTTTTTGGGGTGATTATCGGAATTGAGCGTGATAGGAAAGCAGTTATAGCAGTTTTATTAGACATTGACCTTTATAATTTGGGTTTCGATCACCTCACAGGGAAGGGATAGTAGACTGGCAATTCGATCTTTGCTATTGACCTAATGTTTAATAATTGACTTCCAGTTAGTTGATCTCTTTTTATTAATCCGTATATTGAATCTATGTCCATGTGGCTGCTGACTGTGATCTCATCGGATAACCATGTTTGCGAAAGTTCTCTTCCTGTTGTTTGACTTTTACGTTGAAGTATTTTCACAAAGTCTAAGTCAAATTTGTGTTATCCTTGTCACGGTCTGTCAATATAAATGATCACAGATAATCTCATTCAACTACCATCTGATGATCATAAACGTTTTGGGCTATCTAACGAACGGGTCGACCAATGTACTGTTGTTGACAGTCGCTGCAATTAGCTTTCTAGAGATAAGTTTCGTCCCCTCTTATCCGGAAGTTAAGGGAGTAGGTTAAGGACAGATTTCAACAAAATCAGTGAAAAGAACTTATGCATAATCCTACCTTTTATTTCATATGAACAGTTGTCATAATAGAGAAGAAGGAACGATAATAGCATCACTCATTTACCAAGCGTACATTTTTTAAATAGTGGTCAAACTAGAATTTGAAAATACCTAGTTTTTTTCATACTACTTACTACAAATATAGTAGGCAAATTTATTTCCACCAAAGACTTTCAAGGAATTGTTTAGTAAAGCAAGCCAACACTGATCACTTCAAAAGAAAAAGAAATTATGCAGAAACTCCAGAAATAAGGTTTACATTTTGAGGAGCCAGTTTTTCTGATACGCTTTCTATACCTTGGATGCTGAATTGCGGAGGACGTCTTAGTCCGGCCCCAACCCTCTTCTAACCTAATCCAGCTTCCCCTAGTCGACGTAGGTGATGGCTCAGAACGCGCAATCTATGTTCAATCCACCTCAGTCGACAAACTTTCACAACCTCATCAGTTGACTTGCCTGTCTTACCTTGTATCATTCGCCTGACCTTAACATTGCTCATATGATGATTCCACTTAAAGCCAGCAATGCTACGAAGACATCTATGATCAAAACCCAGTAATAGTTTCATGTCTTCTGCTTCTAACGGCCATGTTTCACTGCCGTATAAAACAGAACGGACTGCAGAGCAGTATACTTTTCCTCTGACAGATAAGGTTTTCAGTCAAGCATAGATTTAATGACACACAAAATTGATGAAGCATATACAGGTGATTTGGCACAAAATTGTGGTTAAAAATTATATCTGACAGCTCAGTCGTAACCAAAAAGATGTAATGACAAATCAATCGTGAGGTGATGTGATCAGTTGAGCCAAAACATATATATCATGTATACATTCTTTCTGTGATACAGACAATGAAAACTGATTACATTCATCAGCTGATCAATAACATAGTCTGAAATTGGTGTGTTGATGCTAGAAATAATTAATTTACACAAGTAACATGATGAAAAAATCTGTTTTAGTCGTTTAATCGGTAGATAAACTATGAAGCATATTTGTTCTTAGATTTCGATGAATAGCATCACTTATTTTCAGAAATGAAAAAGATCTCATTCTACTGATAAATCAACGATTTGTGACATTAAGGATTTTACAAAAATCAATCGGTTAAGCGGTCACTACGTGAAGTAATCAAAGTGCAATAATAAAATTGTATTCACTTTCATCTTTGGCTTCATTACAAAAGACCAAAGTTGCGCTGATGACAACCTCCAGATTTCTAAATGATCAATAAATCTGGGATGAAATATTTGAAAAGAAATTTAATGAACCTCACATATAATATACAATAGCTCAGAAGTCTAGCTACTTCTGATCCCATTATGAAAACTCAGAAGTTAATAAATTCAGTTGAAAAAGTTAACAAGTTCTGTCAAATACATATTTTTTATGTTTCCAGTGAATAAGGAAAAATTCACTGGGGTTTCTACATGTGGGTTCGAATCCCATTCCTGTCATCAACTGATGTATCTGACAGAACTACATGAAATAAGACAACGCTGCCAACGCGATGAGATATTTGAACTGTATACGAATAGTGACTGCTCGCCCTCACACCCGATACTTTACTGAGACGCGGAAATCAAAAGGTGAAGACCGGTGTGTGACTGTAAGGAAGACAACTTTTTTGTTTTGAAAAGAGCACATCATTTATATACAGTTTTTATCCGGAAGATGAAGCCACCAAGTCAAAGTTAGATACTTGTTCTGATTGGTCAGATGTAGGACAAAATTGTCCAATGAGGCTTTTTCTGCCCTGACATGAAATTCTAAACTCCTACCTTACGGACTGGTGTTAATTTCGATTTAGGCCGCTTTCTATCATTAAACAGCTATTATTTACAAATCTATGTATCATAAATGGACTACTTATAATGCAAAATGTTGAACACTACTGAAGAGTTCATTGTAATCAATAAAAAAAACGTAGTACAGTTGACAGATTTAACGAGTAGGCAATTTTATTTGAAATTATTTCTATCTTTATATGAGTCATCAACACTTGCCTTAAGCACTTCAATCGACTTATGTTCTGTTTTCCCACTATTTTCTACCTTTTAGAATTGATGAGCACTCCAGAACAATTTGTTGTTGATGCTTTCGGTGAGCATTCTAACCGACTTCTGTTGACTGTAAATGGAAATCTAGGAAGTTGTCTTAAGAAACGTCGAAGATGAAAACTGTTTCTTGAATACTTGTATATTCACAAAAAATGCTTACATAACAGCTGGTCATGGTATAGTGGAGAGTATATGTAGTGTAGAGTGAGGATATACAGATTGAATTGCTGTCTGAGCTAAAGTTTGATATTAAACTGGGGTTCTGAGACTGAATACCACTTAATCATTAGTTTCGGCAAATTCAATCTGTTTTGAAGAAACCTACTTATATCATTTACCCTCAGCAACCACGTAGAATAGCTGTAGAGGATTGAAAGGACTATTGCTCGGTCATCTGTCCCACCAGTATTAAAGATAATGTAAAATATACTTCGTTATCCGAGTCAAAATACTATTAGGAACCAGTTTATTAAGGATGCTGCAATTCGCCAAATAAATAAATTGCTAGTTCATTCACTTACTTCATTCGCCATTTTTCAACTAAGTGATAAATCACTTCATACTTCACAGGTGTCAGTCGTATAATAAAGTATTTAGAGTACCCTACATCATAGTAAATTGTAAATGTCTACTTTATATTGACCAACTCGATACTTTCTGAGTAGATCTTTCCTAGAGAAGTTGAGAGCTAATACAACCATTTGTATATGTACATCTCTACATTATGGTTGATATGGCGAACGCCATTAGTTTCCGCCATTACACAAACAATGGTCATAGGCTCTTAAATGAGTATGTGATTTCGATTAACGTTGGCTCAGTGGTGTTATCCAAGGCCGGATTCACCTACATTTCCGTAAATTGAAATGAACGACAACTGAGACCAGTGCCAGAAGACTACCTCTACCCCCCTTATCCGAGCTAATACCGCAATAAGTGATTTTTGATCACCATCCTAAACGACTTCCTCAATTAGAAAATCAAACCTTGCAGTCACGTTAAAACTCAATTTGTACTATGAGTGGTTGTGACGTTATTAACAACTGCGCCCATTACCTTTATTACCTGCTTTGATGACATGATTGGTACCAGTAGTGTGCATTCAGATTAACGACTATGAATATCACTTGACAATATGCCCTATTTTTAACAGCAGATGAGCTATAAGGTACTATGTCGTTCAAACGTTTAAGCAACTACTCTGCTGATGAACGCGTGTTAATTTGCGGTATTACATCTAATGTTGTCGAAATCCATGTTCAAGTGTACACTTTTGAAAGAAATTCAAGTATTCGATTGTTTGACTGACATAGTATCAAACTATACAATGTCCATATATATATATATCCAGCAACTGTTATTTTCAGTCAACGGAAATGTGAAAAATCTGCTAGCATGTCTTTTAAACATTAGTGAACATATGAAGAGAACAAAAATTGCGTGTGAAATGAACCAGCTTATCTTGCCAAAAGGTATTATCATGAATCAAGAAATGCCAAGAATTAACTTTACATCGAATAATTTCATAAAGTGATCAACGAATACCGAATATCACGAATCGACCACCTGAAATAACCAAGTAAAAATCAATCCCTGCTTCGTGAATCTTTTTGAACACCCACATACCTCCGCAATCTAATCTAGCTTCCTACAGAATTTATCTATGATGAGTTTAAAATGCATATCATAATAAGGTGAGAGCAAAAAACAGATGTGTTGGCGTGTGAATATCACGAATGTCATGTTAGAGAACAATTACGACTGTAATTGAGAATAGATAGGGCCGTTTACCGATAAAACCAGAAACCAGTAATGCGAAAATTCTCACTTAGATATTTAGAAAACCTTATCACTTCGTAAGACGGGTAAGCGTGATAAGGAAGAAAAGCTGTGATTTCAATTGAAACAAAATAAAGATGTTTACAACCAATAATGCATATCATTTTCACGCTTTGAACAGTCCTAAAAGACCACACAGAGCACTTATTTTCGTTAACTATATTTAAGTATGAATAAATAAGAAGAGAAATGTAAAATAGTAAGAATAGGTAGGAATGAGAGCATACTCGTAAAAAAATTGTGCGATCTTCCTCAGTACCCACTTTATACGTATTCGATAAAATGTCATATGATTACATAAATACACACTATCCTAGGGTACATAAAGGATCAATTTCTGGAAGATATTAGGCCACAGTATGAGTAAAGTAAGATCAGCCAATCACAAACAAAGAACCCAGTACAAATGAGTATCGACCCGACTTGCCAGAATTCGTATCGACAGAGTGTACCAACTTCAACCAAAATTCAAATTACGATCTACGTAGGGAAGATAAACTAGGAAAATACATGGTAGGAAAAGGAATAAACCCCAGTTTAATATCAAACTTTAGCTCAGACAGCAATTCAATCTGTATATCCTCACTCTACACTACATATACTCTCCACTATACCATGACCAGCTGTTATGTAAGCATTTTTTGTGAATATACAAGTATTCAAGAAACAGTTTTTCATCTTCGACGTTTCTTAAGACAACTTCCTAGATTTCCATTTACAGTCAACAGAAGTCGGTTAGAATGCTCACCGAAAGCATCAACAACAAATTGTTCTGGAGTGCTCATCAATTCTAAAAGGTAGAAAATAGTGGGAAAACAGAACATAAGTCGATTGAAGTGCTTAAGGCAAGTGTTGATGACTCATATAAAGATAGAAATAATTTCAAATAAAATTGCCTACTCGTTAAATCTGTCAACTGTACTACGTTTTTTTTATTGATTACAATGAACTCTTCAGTAGTGTTCAACATTTTGCATTATAAGTAGTCCATTTATGATACATAGATTTGTAAATAATAGCTGTTTAATGATAGAAAGCGGCCTAAATCGAAATTAACACCAGTCCGTAAGGTAGGAGTTTAGAATTTCATGTCAGGGCAGAAAAAGCCTCATTGGACAATTTTGTCCTACATCTGACCAATCAGAACAAGTATCTAACTTTGACTTGGTGGCTTCATCTTCCGGATAAAAACTGTATATAAATGATGTGCTCTTTTCAAAACAAAAAAGTTGTCTTCCTTACAGTCACACACCGGTCTTCAACTTTTGATTTCCGCGTCTCAGTAAAGTATCGGGTGTGAGGGCGAGCAGTCGCTATTCGTGTCCAATTCGAGTATCGCATTGTGTTGGTAGCGTACTCGTGGCGAGTACTATTGTGTCAGTGACTTTGACTTGGTTACTTCATAGACTTTATAGGTGATTCAGTGCTTTAGACTGAGCTGCTTGGTAGATAGATAGTCAGAATCTAACTGAACGCCTCCGTTTTTTTCAAGTGAGCTGTAAAACATTTTGGATTATAATTGATCAGTTTCGTTCAGACAAATAACGTGACGACAAAACATGTCTTAATGCGACAATCAGGTGGGGAAAAAAATTAATTTAAACGCTTGCATAGTGAATCCAAAGTGATCAATATTAAAAATGAAGTAAACAGTTGAAACTACAGAGTTGATCGTTGCATCTTTCCGTTGACAGCACAAACACATCAACTATTTGCGATATGACGTGCGCGACACAATGTAGAGTAAGAAATGTTTTCGAGACATTATTGTAACCGTATGTCTGAAACTTTCAGGAGTACAACAATTAATAATATTCCATATTAGATTTGTTTATTTGATATATAGCTCACAGTGATACAGTATTATTTACTTGATTACGTTTCGAGCATAAATTATTGCTCATAATCATATCAATGTAATCACACTTCTTTCGATATCTGATTTTATAGTCCTGTCACCTGATTTTTCTTTGTTTTTTGTTTTTTGATTGGTAGTAAAGTTTTCCATATCTCTGGTATAGGTGTTGCGTCATTCCTATTACATGTGTTGGGTGTTGGGACAATGCCACTGTACTTAAGCCTAATATAGCTAGGTGGAGAGAGAGATTAATTAATGAATCTTTGTTCATCGAATCCACACCCAACACATGTAATAGGAATGACGCAACACCTATACCAGAGATATGGAAAACTTTACTACCAATCAAAAAACAAAAAACAAAGAAAAATCAGGTGACAGGACTATAAAATCAGATATCGAAAGAAGTGTGATTACATTGATATGATTATGAGCAATAATTTGTGCTCGAAACGTAATCAAGTAAATAATACTGTATCACTGTGAGCTATATATCAAATAAACAAATCTAATATGGAATTACATTCTACCACAGTGCCCAAGTTTTACACCTATATTAATTAATAATATATTGTTACTCACATTGTTTTTAGGTCCCAATCACCACACGTAACAAAAGCAAATTTACTGGGATGAACATTCAGGTTTTTTTCACGAAGAAATGAATCAAACATCTGTAAGGATAAAAAAATTGAAATGTATTAGACAGCCAAGAGTGGGAGTAGTTGAAGCAAAATTATTGGTTTATTAAACACAAAGGGGTACAGCCACATCTGGTTAGTTTATTTCATAGAACACAGTGTAAAATTTACTAATACTTTACGAAGAGAAGCGTTTCTCTGCTTCCCTATGCATCAAACTGATTTCAATAAACGCGATAAAAATATTAGCGTTTATCTAAAAATTGAATGGATGAGAGTATGTAAATCGAAGAGCACAGGAATGAAAATCGGTACGGTTTGATTATCGATATATTCTTATTAAGTGCATACACTCTTTCAAAGTGACTTTAGTGTTAGTTCTTGAGAGTCAATTGGTAGGAAGCTATGATCCAGCATTCTGTGCTTGTTCATATTCAATCCAGTCGAAAACCAATCAAAAACCTTGTGCACATTCATACAGAAGGCAATAAGCCACACCTATTGTGTGAGAGCTAATGATACTTGGCTGCCCAAAATTCAGTGGGTGGAGCTATAATCGAAACCGTGACAGACCAGCTGAAAGAGGCATATGAAAAGAAGATAAGATCGAATTTCCTTCAGTGGTTCCATAATAATGAAGTCAAAGTTCTCATTAATAACATATTCAGGTCACAATTAACATCCTGCGAAACTGGATTGGGCATGCCTATCAATCATTATTGGGTAACTCATTTAGACATCAAGTCCTTAGTGATGAGTACTGGTAAAAGTCTACAAATCGAACTGTCACTTTGCCATTGGTCAATGGAAGACATCTGACAATAATGATGGGTATTCATTAAAATGATACCTGACTCAAAGATGCGAACATTTCCGACAGATTATTTGCACAGTAACCGGTTTTACTGTTGACCATGCACTTTTTTCTTAGAATAATTTGTGTGGCTGGTTTTTGTTTAAAAGTAGCTAGTAAGCTTCAACAAATGTCAGACACTTTTTCAACAGCGACTGACATTTGCCGAATACTTTTGGTGTTAAAATATGCTAGCTGAGGTAAGTTTGGACTGGAAAAAGGTTAAAGGCGATCAAACTAAAGTATGACATCAGTTCATGGAGTCGTTGACTGTTGGTGTGAGCCGAATACAGAAATGCAGACTTTCTGTTTGGACTCCACGTGTAAACTTAATTTACGGGTTGCAGACTCTAGGCGATATAGCTGAGCAAAGATTTCAGTGGCACAGATGCATTCACACTTTATCTGCACTCTAATTGTCATACTGAATTTCATTGTTGTTTTAGGCCTTCTCTTAAACATCTTTCTTCTGCATTTCTCTTTCATCTTGGCACCTTCTAGCCTGACGTGCTTATTTGAGATTTTGAAACTTGAACCGTAGAACAGCACTGCCAGTTCGCACGTTGATATAAGCTGACTGACTGGTTTCAAGGAAACCTTGGAAATACATTCACATAAAATAACTCTACACTTCGTACAACATACCCATTTTCAAAATAATGGTGGATATTTGAACGTATCTTAACCAACAATGGACTGGATAGTGTAGAGACACTTGTGCACAGAGTTAGCATGATTCATTGCAGAAGGTGTATTTTACTTTTGCGAACAAATAGAAAATAAGTAAATATCTTGTATTATTCCACAACGTTTCGACCTTGCCAGGAAGATCTTTTACAAGAGTTTCAATCTGATGTAAAGTTTTCAGGTTAATATTCAAGTTTGATACGATCATCCGATAAGATCGTGACTTGGAGCAAAAATGAATACAACGTAAGGTGGAAAATTCAGAAGTCACTTTGAGGGTTACCCTAGCGACGACTAAAATGACCAATCAATTTTCAGTATATATGTTTAGAATGCTATTGGTTTGTGTTGAGTTCTCTGAGTTGTTGTTTAGTCGTGGGGCTTTCATCGTCTTTCTAGACGACATTTGAACACTAATTTCATACCGAAGATGTCATCTAGAAAGACGATGAAAGTCCCCACGACTAAACAACTCAGCTTAGAGAATACAATACAAACAAGACCATGCATTTGAGCTACAAATATTCTCCACCATTTCAAATTGCTTGGAATGCAAATTTTCATAACATAACGAAGATTAATAGTTATTTCACGCGTTGTTAGGAGTGCCTTTTGAATTACTCGGACGTAAGTTCAACAATGACCCACAACCTTGTTGTACATTTCATAGTTGAAGTAAATTTCCTACCCTACTTTTAGTCATATTACTTGTGAAACTTGAGTAAGCTCCACTGACCGATTTGTTAAGTCACTAACTTACATTATATCGAACTTTGTTCAATGCCACGACCTAACGGGATGACCGTAAAGGTCACCTTCTGTATTAAAATTGAATATTAACCCGAAAACTTCATGTCAGATTCATAATCCTGAATAGAATCTCCCTAGCAAGGGTAGACGTTGAAGAATCAAACAAAATATTTTTTCTATTTTGTTATTTGTCGTCAGATACTAAGCCGCGATAAAATACACCTTTATTTGATAAATGGTAGATATTATCCACAGTATAGGACAACTGTGAGTGCAAGTCATTTAAGCGACCTATTACCGCCAAAACGTCTAATTGGAAAACGTCTAGCGTTCTTTCAAAATGTGAATAAAAGAGAGAAAATATGTTTTTTTTTCTCTCAAATGTCTTATAGTAAAACTGAATTACAGTATTATATGTTGCTCAGACGGTTGTTAATATAAAGGACGATAACAATAACTCAAAGTCTGAAAAAATCTGCTCAATCACTGAATCAGTTTGAAGTCTGGCTTTTGGAGAATAAAGCTTCTTTAATAAAAATTCCTGGATCTGCGTTTTCCAAAATGTTGCCAATCTTCTTTACAGTGTACCATTTATTTCGAATAAACGCTGTCTCTCTATCTGACTATAAGGTTTGATCTCACACAGTTCAATAGAACAGTTAAAAATGAAACTTTACAGAATAGAACATAAAGTGATCATTAAATGTTAACAAATACAAACTTTATATCGATCAGTTTCAGTAACTACTTCCCAGTGAAACATCATATTTTGATTATCATACATGTGGGAAAGGATAGTTTTAGCATCCCTTGAATCCCATTACTTTGTTTCAGAGGGTGATTAAGTTTAGAGGACACTTGTGAATGCTTAATTCAAATTACAAGGTTACAACCACATAATTACATAAATTTCCATGGCTTTGATAAACACTATCTGCATTGAATGATCAATATCCAGAAACAGCAAACAAATAGAGCAATTACGACAAAATTAAAGCATCATAATGCGTGAAAGTACTAGGAAACACTTAGATGAAACAGCAAAATAATCACAATCTTTAACTTAAGGTGAAAGATGATTTCATCTTCGTGACTTTTGACAATAAGAATTAAAATTAATGCTCAATAACTAATGCTGACTAGTGACTAACCGAGAGGAGCTGTAAACTCTGATCGATTGAATCTACAATCTATCTTACTAACTGGGAAACACAAGGTAGATTTTTTTTGTAGGTATTTTTCAACACAACAAAACATATTCGACAAGCGGAGAAACAGTGAACCTATCCACTGTATGATACAAGGCAGTGGTATGACCAAGTGTCTAAAGCACATTAGTAACTATCACCCCGTAAACACATTCATTCCAAACAGATAAGTATTTATCGTACCTACTTACCATAATTCACATGAAAACAGGATGCAGAAATATAGGGGGAAAAACTTCAAAAGCAGCTGACAAGAAGGAATATTCCCTGTTGAAACAAAGTAACTGCAGAAAAAGACTCAGACTCATTTTTTGATCCTCTAATGTGAAAGCTAGAAAGAATGTCAGATAATTAGACGGACTGTAGCTATCGTACGTTTTACTCAAAGTTCAAAGCAGCCTGGTCACTGAAAACCTATATCATAAATTCATACAGATTTGACTATTTAATCTTCCTTCTAACTATGCTGTATAATGCATTGTGTTAAATGTTCTCTGAAGTAGTAGTAGTAGTTAGTAGCTAGTAACCTCGCCTGGTTAACTAGTTCACTAGTTACTAGCCAGTCCTAAGCCTGGGTAAAGAGGGAAGGTTGGGCATAGGACTAGCAAACCTACCCTGTAAACCAATCCAACCGCTAAAGAAACTTCAAAGCAAAAACAAAATATAAAACATAAAAACAAAATTACTCCTCGCTGGAATCGGAGAGACGAAATGACAACAGTTGGTGAAAGCCTTCGGGAAGCCGATTGACTGGTGCGTCTTATCTTCTCTCAATGAAAGCAAAAGTGAACGTGGGAACATGGAATGGCCGTATCATAATTGAACCAAGCGAAGCAGCCCAGATTGCAAACAAGAAGAAGAGGTATCACATTGAAGTGCTTGGGATTTGCGAAAGCAGATGGAATGGAAGTGGACTGTCCAAACTGTCACCGCTAGTGAATAATCTACTCCAATATTCTAAACCACGTGACAAGCACGAGCATATTGAGTTTTGGGGTGGCTATCATGATGTCCCCAACAGCATCGAAGGCTCTCCATCATGCAGTGGGAACCAATCTCCTCCAGCATCAGAATCATGACAGCAAATTAAACTCAAAAGGAAGGAAGGTCACAATCGTACAATGCTACGCTACCCACCTACAAATAATGCAGAGCAAGAGAAAAAGGAGGAATTCTACAGACAACTTCAATCAACACTGGACAAGACCCCAGTTGGCGATATCAAAATTCTAATGGGCAGGGTGACATGAATGCCAAACTGGGAGCGTAAAACACAGGATGTAAACTAACCATGGGTCGAAAAGCGCTAGGTGAAATGAACGAGAATGGAGAACTGTTTGCAGGCTTCTGCGCATTCAACGATTTGCTGATTGGAGTCAGGCAGTGTGTTCAAGCACAAAATTATCCTCAAAGAGACATGGATTTCACCAGACACCAGGACACACTAAAAATCAGATCGACTTCATCTCAATGTGAAGAAAGTCGAGACGCAGTCTACTGAACACAAGATCAGATCAAGAAGACGAGTAGATGTA